CCCTTTTTGCAGTCATTAGACGATCCCTCTATTTTTCAATTCTCTTTGGAATGTGATCATTTTCGTTTCAAATGGACGAGAAATGAATTTTTGGGGGTCTCTGGAAGAGAAATGTCCCCAGTAATATGGAACAGAGGAAGTATTCGAGCTTAAAGTTATCGGATTAAAAGTCATAATGTCTACAGAACTTGCATTATTATCAATGAATTAATTTTTTGGTCAGTATTTATACAACGTGTTGTATGCTGGCCCATTGAAATCCTGTCATATCATTTTTTATCACGAGGCGGCAATATTCTTGCTCGTTCAAATAATTGGATTCACGCTGACCTTGTAATATTCAAGCTTCGCTGTGGCAAAAAATTACCTCGGTTAGGGTACACATCTAATTGTTGGCCGTGCCGTGTACCAACGATTCGCGTCGCCAGAGCTAATTGATATCCCATTCAAATGGCATATGTTCAGCCTATATCCTCACAAAACGAATCAGAGAGAGGTAAATATCGAGTAGTGTCATTATATGCATTCGTCACCTACCTTACACTCAGGTACTATTGGTTGAATGGCTAGCTTTGAACTATGGTTCATAGTATAGCCAATCACGCACGTAATAAAATTGCGTCGACAGGTTGTCGAAAGTATTTCAAACGACAATCATATAATTTCTCCATTCTACACGAAGGCAGCATAAATTCTCCATTCGTGCGGAGAGATTTGAACGCTCTAAGGCCGTTGGAATTGAGAGTACTTACGAACATGTGCAACATACAATTAACGCAATACTGCACGTGAAAAATCGACCAAAAATTCTTAAACACGAACTATCCATGTCAAAAGTCCTCATATGAAATCACAAAACTAGGGGCCAAATTTCACATACTTCACCAATTACGAAGCGGTAAATCACAACTTGTTTCACATCTCCAGCGCTATTGAAACAATTCATGCAATGGTGGTACAAGTACCTGATGTCCCAACAATATAACCGAAAAAGGCAGCTATCGTAGGACATGCGAGACTTGGTGGTTTCAAACCACGCGATGAGTTATCCCTTGGCACTATCGCTAAAAACTGGGTGTATCGAAGGCTACTAAGTAGCTAATCGTAAACGGGTTCAATATACATGGAACTACTGCTCACCGGCCGCGTTCGTATCGCCCACAAGCTGCAACTGACCATGAAGATCGAGCCGTCGTTCACGCTGCAAACGAAAATAGACTTTTGAGCGCCAAATGGTAGCTTGTAACATTTAAAGTATTTCATGACAAAGGTGTTTCTACCTCTAACGTACAACGCGTATCAAAGAAAATCAACTAAATAATCGAGCAGCTCGACAGTAGCTCCTCCTATCGAATAGGAATGTGAAAAATCTCTTGGCGTATGAGATCAAGTACAAATATACTTCCTCTGTTCTTCAATACTGTTGACAGAAGTTTGGCGAATATTATTATATAGGAATTTGTATGTGATTTTATTCAATTTGGACCGAAAATTCGCATTTTTATTCAATTCAACGATTCTACGACCAGACAGGTCATGATATGTGTTGGCTTTCGTCTGCTGGCCGAGCTTCCAGATACGAGACATGGCCTGCCTGGTGAGCCGAACTGCTCACAGAGGTCGCTCATGGCTCCACGAGGTGCGACACCGTTTACTTTGATCTCAAGCATGGCATGGTAGATTGCGGTTCGTTGGTCGTTCGCAAGCTCACGACCAGTTCTGCGGGTCGGCATTTGAAACGTCCGTGAGTCGGTCCCCCGAAACCCTGGGGTTCTGAGCGGTGCTAGCAATATCTACGTCGCAAGACGCGTCGATTGCAAGTGATTTGAGGCAAAACGGAGCAGAAATGAAGGAGATACGAGGTTTTTTAGATTCTTTATTTGGTGACGAATGTTCTGGGAGATGGTTCTCAGCGCTCATGGCCAATAAAATTGATCGGAAAATTGCTCTGAATAGAGCTGTTCATTGGCTGTTGAATGTGCTCAATTTGTGCTGAATCCGAAAAGTTTTGAATGTATTGAGGACTTTCAAAAGTTGTGTCAACAGTATTGAAGAGCAGAGAAAGTAAGACTATAGACGACTGGAAGTGTGTTAATTAGCTGACGAGAGCCCATTCATATGTTGGGATCGAACGGACGTGTTTTTGGGTGGCGTGAATGATTTTTGAATGAGTGCCTTTGACGAGTCAAGTTGGTTAAGTGGCTGGAGCGACTACCCGCCGTCTTCGCCGTCGTTCTGAAGAATTGAGGTGTTGTCATGCAATTTACATCTGTCATGGAGCCGCGGATAGTCGAAAGTTGCGAATGAGACAACTTTAAAATATATTGAAACAAACTGTGTCAATCCAGTTGGGAATTTCCACCCAACGGCCAGGATGAAGGTGCTCTGCTTGATCCACAAACCGAATGCGCAGGCGTTCC